CCACTGAGTTTGCAGGGGATAGAATGACTACTGTGAACTTTTTTGGGCTTGTCCTGTGTCTAATTGGAATAAGTGTCCATGTTGTGGCAAAGGCAACAAGAGGTAGGTTTCATAAAGAATGAGGACATTGTTGGACTCACATTATCAGCAAACCATCAAACAAGTATATGTAACCAGAATCACTGTTACAATGACTTGTATTGGGTACTCAATCTGTTTACAATACTAGCAAGCACTTCTCAAGAATTGCATCTTCCTGGATTGGCATTGATTGACTATAATACCATATACTGCAACTTTTATTGGCCAAAATTTAAATTTAAGAATTCTAATTTTCTTTTCAGATTCAGAGAATTTGAAGTTAAGCAAACAGAAAATAGAGGAACTCAAGTTGAATGGTGATATTGAACTAAAAGGCCTGCTCCTCGCAGATCAAGAAAAGCTTGGAAGTGATGATGATAATGAAGAATATGAACTGAATGTTCATGGGCAAAGATAGTAGAGGATAGGACCTCTGGAGTAAAATTAAGTTATTTATCTGTAAAATCTCTATAGGAATATTCTAAATTTGGATTTAAAGTCAAAAATATTGAATTTATTCTGAAAATTATATGCTGTGTAACAAATTATTTCCTAAATTGTAGGAATACTTGATATTACCTGCAGTGGGTACTAAACGAAAAAAAATGGTGAGGGATTTGTTACAAATGTCTTATTTCCTTCAAAGGAGGGAATGTCTCAGGGATTTTAGGGGTGGGTGGGAAAAAATTACCAAATGATGAATTAAAAACACTCAGAGTTTTTCTCCAAAACAAACTTATAGAAAGAAAACACTTCAACAACAGCACTATTAAAACAAACTGTTATTAATATTATATCCAACTGTTCTTTATGGTGTATTACGTACTGCAATTTTCTTACAACATACCTCAGTATATACCTCAAATTAATATTTTCAAACCATTAAATATAAAGGAAACGTTAATTTCCTGAAAGAGGGAAACGTGAAAGAGTACATACAGTTGTGAAACAGACACCAATAGCAACTGCATTTTCCTTCATTTTCTCCTTAAGAGACATCAATTGAAAACTGCTCAATGATATTATGCCCAATCAATCAGAATACGTGAACAGCATCTCAACAATCATCTAAATTATAATAATCAAAGTTCTATGTAATTGGAAGAAGTTTCCTTAGGATTTTGGGAACACTTAAAAAAACTAAACAAATTGAAATAAGCACCAAAGAATTCAGCTTGAATGTGGAATTAATGCATCTGATGTAGTTCTTTGGAAAATTCAGCACAGAATTACAATTATTATAATATTCCCAACAATTAGAAAACATATTACAGCCTGAAACAAATATGGAACTACCCAACAAAGGTTGCAAGCTAACAGTTCTCTGTTGTTAAGGTTTACAGCAGTCTACATCAGAAAAAAAAATTAATAATGTGTCAGTCAATTCAACTTCAACTTCCCCCTTCTGGGCAACCTTCTGGGCATTTTGGCAGGTTGAATCTTCAAATTGACATCACATGATACCATTTACTCAGTCACTTACCATAAAACATACTACAGACAAAGTTACAAAGAAGATAGTTCTCACACATTAATATTTTTTGGTCTTGACAGAAAAAAAAAATGGCTATCAGAAAATAATGGGTTTTGTTTCTCCCATATTTCGCTTGATGTCTTTTCAAATTAATTTTTCCCTGTTATCATCTAAAATAAAAGTTAACTTTGCGTATTGTATAGTTTCATAAAAGAGCTGTTAGAAAGTTATGGGGCAATAGGAAACAAACTCTTTATGAGGATGACTTGATCAAATATTTACTTTATAATTAGGCTGTATCCATAGGGGTGCAAGGAATTGTCTTATTACATCATAAAAATTACATTCTTGTTTGCTTGCGCCACCATATTTCAAACCATCAGACAAATTAAATTTTACCAACAATGGTGGAGACCAGATTCTGCATGTTAGCAGATCTTTTCTTTCCAGTTTCTAGCACTTCTTGATGGTTGGCAGCACTGACATTGTCATCATAACCCATGACAGCAACATTTGTTATTAAAGAGATGCCTAAAACTTTTATCCCAGCATGCCTTGCCACCACCACTTCGTGCACTGTGCTCATTCCAACAGCATCTGCCCCAACCTGACAAACACATTTTGGTTAATGGTGGTTTGGGGAAACAACAAGTACAGCTGAGAGTGAAATGTAATCAGGGATTCCAATGGTTTTGCTCTCCAATACATGGCTCCAACCTTTTTTCATCACTGCCACTTGGCAACCTTTAATTGCACTTGCCAGAAATAAAAGTCTATTTGCTGACTGATCTCTGATATTTAACAGTCATTCCAATATCTTAAATAAGATCCATGTTCTTCCCAGACTTGGAAGGCCATGTTAATGCCACAAAATTGCATATCAAATCCCCTCATTTGTTGTTCCTTTACTTTAAATATCCATGAGGCACAGTATTCTGTAAAATATTGTGAGAATACTTTCCCTGCAATTATTCACAACAATTAAGTGATGATCTCTACTTTACAGAACAAGTGATCAAAATGTTATCTCACCATGCTTAAGAATCTACATTCTGCAGGGGTCTCAAAAGCTGGCCCAACTTGTGCACAGTAAACTCCTTCCTGCATGAATGTTGAATAGCCCAAGTGAGCGCCTGTATCGATAGCAGTTTTAACAAGGGATCGGTCATATGCATCAGAGAGGGCTGGAAATCTTGGACCAAAACTAATGAAAAGATCACATATCTGTATTATTTAATTACCCAAAACATTGATACATACATTTACTACGAAGAATATAGGTTACAAAATTTAAGGTAACATACCGGTCATTATTAACACCTCTCAATGGGCTTTCCCCAGTAAGTCCAGCAAGATTAATATGGTCCTTGATAACCATAATGTCACCAACATTGTAACTTCTGTTAAGTCCTCCAGCAGCATTAGTGACAATCAAAGTTTTGATACCCAAGTGGATCATCACACGAACTGGAAGAGTGATCTGTGATACAGAACAAATAATATCATCTTGATGATCAGTTATGTCAACAATAAGGGATCCTCTTATTATATTGTCTAATTATCTACAATGTGCATCAAAATTGGTCATGTTTGTGAATAACGACACTCCTGTATCTACCACACTCTTAACACATCTTACTACAAGTGTGATCACATATTTTTTTTTTCTGGATGGGAACTGACTCTTGCTGCTCAGGTCTTTAAGCCAGTAAAATTATGAAAAAACTGACAAATCAGTTTTCATGAACTTAAGTGCCTTTTTTAACCAACAATATTTTAAATACAGAAACCAAACCAACCTCGCCAACTGTGTATCCTTCATATAAGTGTGTGCGACCCTGCATCATGACCACAGTTTTACCATTAAGGAGGCCTAACACAAACTGCCCAACATGTCCTTTAACTGAGTATGCAAAAACATTGGTTTAAATACCATTGTCTTTATGATGGTACAATCAATGACAAGAGCCTAAACTATGATTAATTGTTGGTGGGTATAAGATTCTTACAATTCAATAGATGATTCTAGTTAAGAGCTATGGAACAGTGAATAGCTGGCTCAAACTCACTCACAGAAGACAAATATGATTGATGTTTGATTCACTAATGTACCTGTGCTCTTTGGAAAGTGTTTGATCTTCTCATAAGGAATGGCATCCTTATCCTTGACAATGTCTCCCAATGATGACAAACCAGTGCCACATATTATACCAATGGTAGGTCGATGTTTGGTTTGATTAAGAATTGTTTTACAAATTTCTTCTACAATGACATAGTCATGACTGAATTCACATCTGTTGGATATTCAAAAGAAAAAACTGTTCAGCAGTGACCAAGAGATACTCTCTCTTCTAGACAAGTGGCAACAGACAAGTGATGAGGAAAGGGTAAACTATTAAATCATGGAATAGATTCATTAAACACCAACTTCTCAAAACTAACATGATTGGACATTTGATACAAATAGTATAGAGAATCACCACCATCCTGCAACTCAAATAGTTGATGTATGACAAAACAAGTGTAGCAAACCCTGACAAGGATGATGACTGGCTGTCCTTATTGCATTCCATATAATTGAATACACAAATATGTTTTGCCGGAACTGATTTCCCTAAACAGGTTAGGAAAATTTAACTGAGTACACATTTTAAGGCTTACAGTGCAGATGTTCTTGTTCAACTTTATCCCTGGTTCAAAGGTTTCTAATTGTTTCAAACTCATTATCATTATACTTCACCACAGAGAAAAATAATAACTTCTTATTAACCAAGGGCCTTACTGGAGAATATTGGCCCGAGGTTGTGGTAGTATGGACTGAGCACATTGAAGTCTGTACAAAAGTAATCAAGAGCCAATGTTCCCCAGTACCGCTGGAACAAGCAAGGTTGGTAATTAGTTTATTATATGGCACTTGGATCAAACTTGTGTATCTTGAATTTGCGGCTTTAGTGAAAAAACATGGCTGATGTCTGTTTCCATGGAAATGGTCTGGATGGCAAAATCCTGGCCAAATAGGGAAAATTTACCTCAGGACTACCTTATCATGAAGTAATGTAAATTTAAAGCTGTAATAAATGATTAACTTTAACTACAACATTGGGCAATTACCGGTAAGTCACTTGCCATGCAAAACCATTATGGTTAGAGTCTTAAGCAATTTTTAATGTGTAGAGTAGATTAACTGATGCACAGCACAACCAACCTTCAAAAAAATTAGGTTAGGAAAGTATATTTTTCTGTTACAAACCTGTACATCATCTCAAAGTAGGCAGAGCAAAGAAAAAACCAAAAGGATTTCCGATATAAAAATGCAAATTACATCAAGCTCTGATATTTGCAGAACAATGTTGTTTTGTCTAACTACCAGTAGGGACAATTAGAGTATTGTTATATTTTGGCTGCACTCATTAAACAAAGACCAGATGACATTTGGCAAATATTTTGCAAAACAATGAGGGACTGAAGGCTTTCCCTCAAGTCAAATGTTATTCCTGTTAGAAAGGTTGCTTTGCTTCTGAATAATCAGAAAGAGAGAGATCATGAAAATAAAGCACAGAGTTGGAGAAATTTTCACCTGAGTGTAAAAAGTAATTCAAGATTACATTAAGGCTTTTCCATAACCAGTTGACAAGTGCTTAACAATGAAAAATTGTTTCTGACTCTTGGTAAACCGACTTCTTTAACAGACACTTTCTGTGTGTCTTGCACTTTTTCTTTACTATGCGAAGTCCTTTGCTGACCTAGGTTAAATACCATGAGCCATGCTGACAGGCAAAGGAGACAAAATTGGCAGTAAAAGGGCTTAAAAATTACTTCATGTCACCCTGTTAAAACCTGTGTGTGGTCAAATATACTGCAGATTCCTTAAAATTTAACAAGCATTTTTTACTGAGTTTTAGAAGTCATGCCTAAAAATTAAAGTAATTTAAAAAATTAAGATGCATGAGTATATCTTGCTTGTTTATGCTGCATCAACTAGCATATTTATTCATAAAAAAATACTGCTTGATTGGCCAATCGGTCGTAAATAATTTAGCATTCGGAATTGTTTGATAATAAGCATTACGTTAGCAGCTGAAAAATTCTTTACATACTGTTCAATAGTCACATTAGAAGGAATTCGACTAAAGCTTATTTATGTGACAATTGCTTTTTAATTTTCTATTAATATTGCTTGCGATTTAATTAACAGGAAGCCTTATATTTTAAAAAGTTTAAAGCTATCTTTGTGGATGGAAAAGGTTAACTAACCCAGTAAAATAAAATTTCGATGCCATTGTACGTTTCGTGATTAAGCTAAATTGTGAAATGTTAGCTTTAGCGTCACCTGTCCCTTTGCTTTTCTATCACACAAATATAAACAAATGCAAAATGTAGATGTACATTTTACACCTTTTCAACCGCAATTTTACACCATTGTTAGCCGAATTATTATGAAAACTTCTCTATCATCCTAGCAACGCTAAAATACAATACGCTTACTCGAAAACACAAAAATAAATAAACAAACATGGTCTAGTTCGGACCGGCCAAAAATCGAGAACGTGGAGTAAGTGGTTCGCTTACAAGCGTTATTTTAAGCTTTCCGCTGTTCCGCAAGAAAGAAATACCCTTACCTTCGCTCTGGATTTCCAGACATTTGCAGATTTTCCTACAGAAAAGCGATATCATAGACTTAGAATTATCTTAGCCGTTGATTACATAGATAAGTTTGGTACACATGCACGCGTTCGATTGCGTCGTGGGCTAACGCACACCAAATAAGGAATTTTTGGGGGTGTGAACATACAAACAAACGCATGGATCATTTCAACGCATTGTTGGAAGGCTGTGAAGGAGCTGGCCAAACAAGCGCAACATCTTGCAACATCCAAAATTTGTTGCTACAAAGATTTGACCATTTTCAAACTAGATGCAATTGATCCTATGGACTTATTTTTTTAAAAGCATTTTTTAAATAATCGACTTTCTATTTGTAATAAACAGAGAGGCGTAATGGTAGGCGGTGGTTGTGAATACCACGCTAAGTGGCATGGTAAAAGCTCGGCCACGCGCAAGCAATATTTCAATTCAATCTCTTGCAACATCGTTGGATCGTGTAGTGAGATGTTGTGAAGGAGCTGGCCAAACGAGCGCAACATTTTGCAACATCCAAAAATGTTGCCAAAAAAAATTGACCATTTTCGAACCTGATCCAATTCATCCTACTTACTCGTTTTTCAAAAAAATATTTTTTAAATCATCGACTTTCCATTTGTAATAAACAGAGAGGCGTTGTGAGAGGCGGAGCCTTTGATTATTTTGCTGGAGGGTCACGCTATTAGCTTCGTAACGCGTGGGCTTAGCTCTTCCTCTTAGTCACGCAACGCATTACTTAAAGAAAACCAAAAGGTGAAAACTTTCAATTTTCATTTTGGTTTTACGTCTTTGCTAACCTCAGGGCTTGAAAAGACGTATGATAAGCTACAAGAAGCACCAATCGAGCTCAGAGGCTCCAGTTTTAAGATCTAAGGAGGAAGGAGTGACAAGGTAGCGCTGAAAGTCATCGTTAGATTGCCAGAGTTATGAATAAATTAATAAAGGGGGTAAGTTTCTAAAGAAACTGTAGTGCTGCGTCGGTGGGAGAGTATAGCAAGTAATTTAATGTTAACAACTGGGTTGAAAACGTAAACTGGCCACCGTAAAGGGTAAAAAAGCCGACGTTTCGAGCGTTAGGCCTTCGTCAGAGCGATTGACGAAGGGTCAATCGCTCTGACAATTTACGTTTTCAACTCAGTTGTTAACACTAAATTACCTGCTATGAATATGCTCAGCAGTAAAGACTGACGTAGTTGGAAGCAATTGCTACGTGAGTGAATTACACAAATGTCAGAGGTTGGCGAAGTCGGTAAGGCAGGCCTTCTGCTCGGCCTCATACATCATTTTACATACAGTATACAGTTCTTGAATGAAGAAAATGATCGCGAAGACGATGGATTAACTTTGGGACTACAGCTTTGTTATAGAATAGTATGGCCTTGAAATAATGCACTTAAAATGTAATCTAAAAAGTCTGTCTCAGCGACACTATCACTCATTGTAGTCTTGATATCGAAGGATTAAGCCACGTAACAATTATTAACTCATTCTGAACATAAAAATCTATTCTTGCAGCTTCAGTGGTTGTTATGGCATGCTTGAAAAACCTTATTGAAAGAAAAAATTTATAGTTGTGTCATACCTAAGATGGCGGACGCATGAGTGTTTCAAGAAACAATTTTAGCATTTTTCTTGACTTATCGACGTCAGTAAGTTTGAATACTGATTCACCCAAACACAGACACTTACCATATTAAGTAGCTTCTTCAAAAGGAAACTTGCTCGAATTACTAGCAAACAAATATCAATGTCTTTTGAATATCAGGTAGTAATGAGAGATTCACGACAGACTGAAACTACAAACTGACTTACTCAAATCAGCAATGGTAGCTAAGCCACATGAAGGTTTCGGGTGACACGTTTCGCAGTACCAGTGACAATATGGCCCGGGCGCTAATTTAAAATTTGGGTCAAAGAAGGGAAGCTTCTTATTGGAAGGAAGGCGCTTAAGCGAAGGGGGCACTTATTACGAAACTATGAACCTTTACTGATTCCGCTGTAGTTGAAGCCTAAAAAGTTATTAATAACGTGGCAACAGAAATAGGTTTTCCTCCCTCCCCTCTATTTAAGATAGCGAGGGAGGAGGGGGAGGGGGTGCTTGTTTCGAGAATTAGGCCTGTTAGAAATTATGGCCTAGGGGAAATGCACTCACTCGGGGAATGGCACTTATGACAGCGTGGGTGCTTATTCAAAGAAAAACGGTGTTTCAGACGAAGATGAAAATATAACTTCCTATATTTGTACTTTGAAGGAAGCCGACACGAATTGTAACACACTTCTCAGGGAGGGACTTTCGGTTGGTATGCTCCGTCCAAAAGAGCTTTAAGTAGATTTTGGCATACGGGTATAAAGATATGTGGGAATCTCACAGATTTCAGGGTGAAGAAGGGCTAGTAAAACAGCTTCTAACCCCATGAAATACTGATGCAAGGTCGCGAAGTGAGTCGCATCTAGAACAATTTTTATGTTAACATTTGGCGATTTATAGCTCTCCGGGGTAATCAGGTGTCTTTGTTGTAAACCTTCTATTTAGAATCTACCTCGCCGATCTTTTTGTCCTTCCCCTTTGCAACGAAAATGAGATATCACAAGGATTTGTTAACACCCTGGTGCGCAAACTTCCCACCATAGTCTCTCTGCTAGGGAGACTATGTTCCCACATATACCAGCAAATGCTAACAAATGATAAGGAGCTACGGAAGGAAAACCAAGGATACCGACAAATAAGTGAATTTTCCTTCCTTGAATGACTCCATTATGAAAGAGACGCTACTAAGTTCAAGAACTTCATAATCCGACACCACTGATATTATCGAGTCTAATAGACCCGTGACACTTTGCTGGAAAAAATAAAATCGGCTCACCCCGAAGAGGGAGTACGATTTGTTAATCACGAGTCCAATTGAAGTTAAATTTCGTCTCAAATTTGCTCATGATGATCGCATCCGACTCGTACTTCGAGGTCGTCCAATTTTACCTGCATTTTACCGCAAGATGCACGTGTTCTTTCAAAAATTTCGTCATTTCACAGAGCTGCGATTTCAACCCGTGTGGTCATCTCTCGGTAACTCAGTTCTGCTTCTGTTCTCGAGTCACCAAATACCATTCTCGGGATCCACGTTTAACTCTTAAAGTTATCTAGATTCGTTCATATTTTCTACACATAAACCGGTAATTGAACACTACTTCAGGTATTTCACATAAAATTTTTCGGGTGTATCAAACGACACTCCGCAACTAAAGTGCAAATGTACCGTGGAAACAAAACAAGACTTTAACGTAAACAACTCTCACGTAATGAATGTAAATAGAACTGTAATATTTTCGTACCTTAACCCTTTAACTCCCATAAGTAACCAGGGCAGAATTTCTCCTTACAATATCAATACAATATCAAGCAGACAAGTGATGACAATAAAGAAAAATATCAATGAGGGGATTATAAGTTGATCCAATAGCAAATTCTCCATACTAACATCACAAGAACTGTATGAAAGACAGTAAGGAGAATTACTAGTGAGATCTTAGGAGTTAAAGGGTTGACACAATTTTGAGCGAGATTTCTAACAGTCTACTTTTAATGTTTACTGTAAATAGAGAAATTAATTCAAAGCATGAAGGTTACCGAGCCTCCGAGACTCAAACATTGGGAGAGAATATGGCAGTAAAGACGTAAGGCAATTTCAAAAAGACAATTTTAAGTGGGATTACTGACAGTCCATCTTTAATGTTTACTGTAAATACAGCAATTTATTCGGAGCATGAAGGTTACCAAGCCTCTGAGACTCAAACATTGGGAGAGAATATGGCAGTAAAGACGCAAGACAATTTTGAGTGGGATTACAGACAGTCCATCTTAAATGTTTACTGTAAATACAGCAATTTATTCAGAGCATGAAGGTTACCGAGCCTCTGAGACTCAAATATTAGGAGAGAATATGGCAGTAAATACGTAAGATGAAGCCTTGTGTTAGGCTAAGAAGACGCTGGGAATGTAAATTTTCAACGGTACTATAAACACCGTTCAAGGTCCATGAAAATAGCTTTATAAAATCATCATGTAAACTTCAATTGTACCTCGGTAAGAATATTTACAACATATAAACTTCATAACAATGTATACACCTCTATGGGACAAAAGAAGTTGGCATCTCGCACTGAAATTGTTCCAAGAAACAAAGCAAGACTTCAATGTTAATTTTTACATGTGCCGTTCCCTTTGTCAAAAGGTTTGGATAAATTAAAATCAAATCTGATCAATTACTATCGATAAATCTTTTCTTCCACATCAGCACAACTTTCATACTTTAAAGCTTTAGTGACGTCAAAAATTTATTGACGTCAGTGTGACGTTAACATGTTGAATCCGGCATGGCAGTTTCCAAGGTCGTTGAGCTCCGGGAAAGACTCATGCATCTCTTTCCCGCCATACGGCCGACTGTGTTCGACTTGAACTGTGGCACTGGGCGCGATGTGGAGGATTTGTCGGCTTCAGAATGTCTCCGAGGGAGGCCTGGCTCGAATTGGCACGAGATATCATACAGCTCTTTCTCCGTGTGAATCTTCTCGTTGGCGAGGTAGTCTCGAATCTCAGACACCTGAAAAAAGACGGGGATACCATAACAGCATTGAGAATCGAAAGTAACGTCTCTGAATCAAGAAGATCTATAAGGAGAGAAACACTCGGAGCGCGCGAACCTGTTCTATTTTAGCGTGAAAACAAGATTGTGGGACGAGTTTTTGCAAACAGAGCTTTCCCTAAGCCATTCATGATTCAGTCCCACTCAACGAACAATGTTAAAAAATAAAAAAAAATAAAAAAGTGAGTCAGCCTGGAAAAAACGTATGCTGCTAAAGTAATGGCCATACGATAAGGGGAAAAAGAAAAAGCGGCTTACCTCCTGAAAATTATAAACATCCTTCTGGAAACGTCTTATTTCATCGATCACAAGGTAAATCTAATGACAAGACGGATAATCATGCGCAAAAATTTAAACATTCCCTTCACGGCAAACGTTGAAAAATAGTTAAAGATCTAGTAAAAATTGCTGATAACTTTATGAAGTCACAAGGAATAAAACTCATTCTGGGGCTCAAAGTG